GACTCGAACCCGCACAGCGCACGGCGACTGATCAGAAGACTGAAGAGTCTACTACTGCGGCCACCGCTGCTGCCTACCGTGCATAGTCTGGCACTATGATGATCACCCAAATCACCGCAGTATTTCAACACTAACGCCAAATAATAGTCTCCGAGGTAAATAAAAAAAGAATCGTGTGAACCTATTCTGCACAAATGTTTTATTTCACGTCTTGAAAATACATTCAAATTCAGGCAACGATCCTATCTAATGAAGTCTAATGGGGCAGCTTATTTCGGAATGATAATGGCAAACGGCAAGGTTCGTTCTCCTTTATGTGTCGATGCGAACCGTCCAAGAACCAGGATGTTTGCTGGATACGTATTAGCCATGCGAGTCACGTGACTCGGTAACATCCAACTAATCGACAGCTACATAAAGCGCATGGTTCACGTACTGTTGCGATTATTCTAAAATTCTGTCACCAGAACACGTAGATGGAGAATAATGGGGCTGTCACACGATGACCATGCTATACAGTGCCCATCTTATAGTCCAGTCGACAGAGCAAGCATTATTAAGACATCTCTTCTTTTTTTAACACCGAAGCAACCGCGCAGGCAGAAGCCTAAATCTCATTAAGACTGCAACAAAAAATGTCACAATTGTTAGCAATTTTATTGACATTGTTTTGATAATAAGTTAGTCTGTGCTATTTGACATAAACTCGTGAAACTAATCCTAGCACCGGAAATTGTATTTGTGAGAGAATGTGGGGACAATCCTCTTGACCGTGGAACAATTTGTATAAAATGAGTACAGAAAATTGATTCCGTCGCTGCTCTAAATATTGAAAATCAAACTTTTGGAAAATGTCAATATAATCAGAACCGCTTGCAGGGAAATCTAGGTATTCCAGAAGTTCGCGATTTATACACCTTACTTATAACAGAAAGCATAGATATAGGCCTGTAGTTGTGAGGGTCGGTCTTTCCCTTTTGTGGGAAAGCAAATTACCAGTTTTCTGGGGAGGTGCCGGATTCGTAAAACATCTGGAAAAGACGAGCAAGAAATGCAGCAAGCTCTTTGCACCTTTTCAATCCAAATCAGGAATCAAGTCCGGATTAAAAACAAGATTTGTTGATGTCGAGCAACAAGAGCACCTGTCTTACGGTCTTATGCCTGAAGATAACTTTCATTTGAATCGACGGCACTCGGGCATTGGGTGGCGGGGGGCGTCTAAGGTCGAGTTGGCAGCAAAGATCTTGGCAAGCACTTCCGCCTTAGCCTTTGAGTCGTGGTGGAAGGCTAGTTACAGTTTCTTTTTATGGTCTACTAAAAATTTACTATATCTTTATAAAGTAAATTATTACAACTTTTTTCTTATTTAGAATAACAATATTATAACAGTTTTTAAAAATATTGGATTTTATTTTTATAGCAAGACACTCCTCTTGGTGTAATAGTTTTATGGTAGAAAATCGTACTATACTCTCCATCTCGTTAAAGGCCATTTTTATAATTTCTGTCGACGGTAAATACGACAGTTGAAGGTGACGTGGTGCTCTCGTGTAGGTGTTCAGCGACCAGTACCTTCGTTAGTGAAATAATTTCACACCCAATGTTGAGGTTTGCCGGGTTGTGTAGATTTTGATAGAAATCGGTCTCCATCGGTGAATTTTGTCGTCGGAGCCCTTTTCTCACCCTCTTGGAGATTTAGCCGTTGATACAGCTACACTAAATCATCGAGCTGAGGGGAACTGTCTGCATTAACACTCCCAAAAGTCACTGTTCGAGGGTTCTACCTGCGGGTTCTGATTTACATCTCGGATTACCTACCCTTGGTTACCTTTGCTCCGGAGCCTATCTTTCGAGAGGTTCCATAGCAGTTATCCCTTCTCTTGTGACAATCAATCCCACCATTCTGTAACAGCCAAGCCCCTACCAAGGTAATTTTTTTTTTAATTTTAGTTTTTTCCGGGGAGTAGTACCAACTAATTTCCTTTTGCTTTTCTCCCAGGACGTGTTAAATTTCTTTTTCTTGTTCAATAAATGTTTGTGAGCCACGTGAATTTGTGTTTCCTTTAGCTCCAGGGACCCAACATTTCGCAGTCAGTCAAGTTTTAATATGTCGAAAGACACTACTTGTTATTTCTTTTTCCTACTCTTGGAGCTAGGTGGCGTCCAAACCTCAACCATTTGTCCAAAGTCCAAAGTACAAGGGACCACACTCTGAGGTCACATCATCTACCTAAATTATAACTAGAAATATAGACAGGATAACACAGTTATGCGGACAACAGGCCACTCTGTGAAAAGTTCTTTTCAATCTGCTTGGCCAGCGTCCAGGAAGACCGAGTACCACTGCGCTGCACATTTATATCGTGCTGGTCTTTGGCATTGCGGAACGCTTCTTTATATTTATTAGACTAATATGTTTTAAGCATAATGTCTTTAAGTATTATGGTTATATACATGTATGTATAAAAAGTTTTACTTGTTAAACCGAATTTAATCATTGATGACTGGTCTACATTCATGTGTATGAGCGAGTATAGCAAAAGCAGTAAGGCACGAGCAAATAGCAACTGAACACGGTCCGGTGGTGCTGCGTCCACGGCATCCATTGTCCACAGCTCCGGGCGGCATTTGTATCTATTTACAGGTTATTAAAAAGCAGTTGGTCGCAATTTGAATTCATCGCCGTGCTTCTGCATTGTTTAGCGGTTGAATGGGACCTACCAGCAACTCTATAGCAACCATGCCGCGGACAGAATACGCTGCTGTGGAACACCGAAACACCAAACTCATGAAACATACACACACACCGTTGCTGCTCATTTGTTCGGTGTAACAAAAGCCTTTGTTAAATTGGAAGATAGAGTCGTTCTGGAACGCATGCATATCGTGTCGATACACGTTTCTCTGTATGATGCAAAGAGGTGAATTTCAATCAGAATTTACTTTACCACGGTTCTCTTTCATAAACATTAGTTTTTTACCTTTTCCACTATATAGGTACAAACTGTTCATCCTTCACAATTGGTCCAATGGTGGCTAAGATTACACGGTGGAAAAGCTACGAGGAGATCGATCCATAATGGAAATGGTTTTCATTATAAGGAAATTGGATGCTCGTATATCAGAAAAGGAACATTTATTTTGAGTTTTCAAAATTTGATAGTTCAGGTATTCGATGACAAAAAGGCCTCGACAATAAAATTCACCGATGGAGGCCGATTTCTATCAAAGCCCTCTATCGTCAAATAGAAACATCAACCACATCCCGGCAATGACCTTTAAAGAGATGGAGAGTATTGAGTACAATCCTCCACCACAGAACCATCAGAACAAGAGAAATGTTTTGCGATAAAAATAAAATTCAATATTTTATAAGAACTGTTATAAAAGTACCTACTATTCTAAATAAGAAAATCGTTGTAATAATTTACTTTATCAACATATAGTGAATTTTAGATGAATTTCAAATTTATTGCTGCCAATACACAACATGTACTTGCACAGCTCAAAGGCGCAAAAGGCAACTCTGATAAAATAAAAAAAAACAGTAAAGACTAAGACATCAAAGAACAAAACGAAAGCTTAAAATGTATGCCGGAGAAATACATCTATACTACAGAAAGCACCAGACATAAAATAAAGATGCTTTTCAGATTTTCTTCAAATTTGTTGACATATCTCTGATGCCTTTCGGCAGATGATTAAAAAATTGTATGCCCTGGTACTCTGGATATTCCTGAGATCTTGTTAGCCGGAAATACTCTGGTATTAGATTACTCTTGGACCTGGTATTGAGTTCGTGAACATCACTGTGCATTCTGAACATAACAAGGTGCTTTCTATGGAGAAAGCAGTTCATGATGTTTTGTTAGGGCAATGTTAAAATCTCTAGATATCTAAAAGCCTGCCTACAATCAGCCATAAAATCCATTCCTTGAGTTATCCGGATGACCTTTCTCTGAAAGCCAAAGGCACGATGTGATTGCGCCGTAAAGCGTATGACATGATGAAATGAAATAATGTATAATAAGCTGTTTTCAACACAGTTGGACTCACGCATTCCACTAGGCGTCACAATTAGGCAAGCTACAGACACTTTATCGCCATTATGATTGTCAACGCATACTAGAATATCTCGACTTTTTTTTTAGGCTGTTGATCACATCCCTCATTTCGTTAAATGGTATTTTTGGTGGAATGATGTTTTTGAGATTGTCTAATGGAATGGTAGAATTATAATTTAGATAGATCCTTGAGTAGATTAGGTACTGGTAAAAAAATCATTCAAGGTTATCTAGTGCTAAATCCAAAGGGACTGCGTCTTTAGTTTCTCATTCCACATGGTGTTTATTAGTTTTTTGCCGAGAATAACGCTCTATCGTTCGCTTTAACTTAATATGAGTTGTTGAATTATGACCATCATCTCGGTGTATCCCGTGATTCGATCATTCAAAAACATGTTCAGATTTCCAGTCTGATTTTACAAGAACGAGACAGCCCGTCGTCGAAAGCAAAGCACGCGTTTATCTGTTGTAACTCCCTTAAATACCGTTGTCCATTTAATAAACATATCTGTGCCGATATCGCCAGAACACGTGTGACAATAAGGCCCAAACACGCCGATCTCCGGCGTCCACAGCTGTAAAGTGAGTTTCCATGTTAAAAAGCGCGCCAGATTCGGAATACAAATGACGCCAGCCATCCATTCTGACGAACACCTTGTATCCAATAAATTCAGTTAGCGTTTTTGTTCCGTTCCAAGTGGGATTTGTTCGGGATCTTCGCAGCCCCATAAACAAGATAGTCACGCGTGTTTTGCCCCCTCCAGCGTCCGGAGGCGTCGCCGGCGCGCGACCACGCCTCGTTGCGCCGGGTGGGGAGCGAATAGAATCGCGAGATTCGTCGTTCGCCCCGGCCGTTTCATGTTTTAACTGGCCACGCGCCTGGACCACGCCTCCTCGTAGTGGTGGGGGAAGAGCCGTTGCGGGGCGCATTTGCCACTAGGCCCCAGTCGATGGTACACACTCCAACGGTTTAGGTTTCGTGTTTGTTTTCATTCATGTTGATGGTTCGAGGGTTGCTTTGGACATGACGAGCCGCAGGACCGCTAAAAGACGGATTACTACGCAAATAGTGCTGTGCTGAGTGTATTTTTGAGTGCGAACGTTGTATATTTTGGACTTTCAAGGACACCACCGTGGGTGCTTTTGATATTCAGATGGCCGCCTATGCCCAGTTTGGCTACTCCTATCCGACGGCATCGCAGGTATTTTATAATCATTATAACGTTATCGAAGAGAATTAACCAAAATTTTGTTGAACATTGACGTCGTATCTAGTGCTTAAACAAGAGTAGTCAATGCCCGATCAAATGTGCTAGTTATATCAGGAACTACCGGATACTGTTAGAAGTACATTCTTGGAATGCAAAATTTAACACATCATCTTCAATACATATGTCTTAAAACTTCCTTTGGCTATGGCCGACTGTATCCGAATAACTTATGCACTAGGTTTAGTTAGGTAACCATGCGTTGGAAGTTTACTATCAGTTGCCTGTGAATTTGTTTTTCAAGTTTTGGTTGACAATGTATAAACCGTTGATCCAGCAGTGCTGCTTTTAGGCCTGAGTTATCGAGTTCTATACGTTTCGCGGTGTTCGGTAGTTTTTTCTCGTGTCACGCATGACAACTTGTGTCATTGTCAAGCGCATCAAGTTGGACATTGCGGTTTGACCACAACGTTATAGTTATCCATACATGGTCCTCTGGTTGAAACCAACTACCACTTTAGGAAAGACTTGATATTGAAAAACGCTTTTGCGGTTAACTGGTGATTGAGATTCAATGAAAAATGTTATTAAATTTTTGAAAATGCAGCAACCGGGGATCGAACACTATATTGGAAGTAACCTCAACCCTTAACTCAGTTCATTCATACTATTTAAAAAACATGAAATTTTATAGAGCAAAGATAAACTGTAATTTTGCAACAGATTGTGTAAAAAGTAATTTATTTGATAAACTACTTTGATTTCGATAGTAAGACTCGTATTAGCCGATAAAGTATTTGACTAGAATTGTCAATTCACGGAATTTAAATTAAGAAAGTAAAATAAGCATACATTTTTGCATTCCCTTTTTTGGTTCTGACGGAAAGGTGAATCTTTTGACTATTATTCAACTCCTATATTGATATCCGATCACAAACACCTTTTAATTTTCAGTATAAACACAATATTTCTGAAAGCAATCGATTTCTAGCAAGTCGGTGACATATTCGAGTAGAAAATGTTTTGATTGGCAAAGGAACTTATTTGTATGTTTAGTTTTGTAAACAGTTATTTTTAGATTTCTGACAAGCTATCGTTCGCTTTAGCTCACGTTTTGTCTCAAGAAATTCCACTGTTTGACATAAAAATATAAATTTCACGTCAGCGAGACGTTTGTTTACTTTCCGTCGGAAAGTGGCGTAATCAATAAAGGATATCTAAAGGTACCATAAATGAGTTGCTCTATCTTAGTTTTAAAATCTGACACGTTTTATTTATTTGTGAAAGACTTTGGGGTAAAGTTACATGCTGTTTGAGTTTAGATAGAAAGGTTTGTCAAGTTTTAGTCTCTTGAGCGTTAATTTGTAATTGACACTGATTATGGCTTTTTTACTCATTTCAGTATATGTATTGGAACTCATTGGGAACATTCAATTGTTACTTGTTTGTGAATCACAGTTACATATGCTTACGTAAAATATACAAGTAGTATTTTAACTGTAACCAAATCATTTATATTTCAATATAAATGAATCTATAATATATTTGTAGTCATAGTTATTTGCAATAATGTTTATATATGAACATATCCGACCATGAATTATTCAGTTATTCGCAGCTCACATCAATGTTTATAGGATAGCTATCACATTAAACGGCATACTTTATTAACTGTTGTGGCAAGACCAAGGCGTATTGTATGCTTTATCAAACTTTATGATCGAAATAATCTTTAGCTTGACAAAAATCGTTTCAAGAACAGATATATCATTGTTTTTCTCGATATTGGCGACAATGTGTATAAATGTTATCTTCCCTACAATGAATTGTGGCACTGTTGACCAACAGCCGAGAAATGAATAAATCTTCTCAGAAATTGTATTGTTTATTATTATGTTTATTGAAATAATACACTTCATCAAGTTAAATGAAATATTTATTATGGAACAATGGCATTCTTTGAGGATTATATATCTCAATTCCACAAGAATATGAAATAAAAAACGATTATTTAGAGACATCAGAATTTCTTATCTACCGTTTCGTTTATATTTGGCATTAAATTTAATCCTACCTTTTGCTTATTTTCAAATAGGCTTTGTAACTTTATTCGAATCGGCTATTAGTCAAAAGACAAAGACTTCTAAAATAAGATTACACTATCCAAGTCGTATTATACCTACTTTGTACGGTAAAGCAGAGAAATAGACTGTTGGTTAATAATTAGCCGGTACCACGTGCTGTGAAGAGTCTCACAAACAATTCGACGGACGTGATTGGCTCCTGCAAACATTTGCACAGCACTCCTGATCCTGCCAATAATATCCTCATCACAGGCGGCACCTTATCGATACTCCTTTGTTCTTTAACCGCAAGAACCGATTGGCAGTGCATTTGACATTTACGTTTTTAGATGTTGGGGGTATGCGTATTTCAAAAACGTTTTTGTCATGTGTCTTACTCGACTGCCTCAGAAAAAGGGTAATGTTTTTACTCGCATGCGTATGATGTTGGATTTTGATATTTGAGCTGTTGTTGGATCCGTGATATAGGATTTTATCGAAAATTTCAGCTATTCCACGCGGTATAGCCTAAAATTTTAGGTATCAATAGATTCGTCTTGATAGCACTATGTATGTACTAAATAAAAAAAATGCTCAGTCTAATTTAGACGTCTCTCAAGTAAATGACGGTGAAATATCAGAATCTAGATTTCAACGTGTTATTTAGGTAGGTATAGAGGGTTGCGAGTTTGTTTAGCTTTTGCAGAAAGTTCTTAGTGGTAGTAGTTTTGAGTTTCGAGTATCATTTATTTCTGAGCTATAGTATGGAATGCCACGCCATCTATCGAATGAATGGAGAGATAAGGAAAGTGATGTTTGTCACAATTTAACCGGCTTTGATAGCAGATGACTGTTGCCCTCGTCTACTTTTGAATGTCTAGTTAGAGGTTACATTTTTGTTTTCTTTGAGTTTTATTTTACTAAGGCCCGCACGGGTATCATGTAAAAAAACCTAGAAAACATCAAAAAAACCTATAAGATGTCAACTTGCAGACTAGGTAGTTTTTAGGGCGCAAACAGTCATTCCACATTTGCTCACTAGGATCGTTGTGATCGTCCATCTATGGAGGAATCACTCAACTAAACTACGCGCATAATTGGTTGCATAGCTTCGTGAGGCTGAGTAATCCGGGTCTGTAGTTTTTATCTCTGAGAAGAAAGCTGGTTGAATAGCAAGATCGCATCTGGATGATTGTGTGTAGGTACCTATTGGTCTGCATGTGTATAAAATCAGTGATATTTGCTGTGTGAGAAAATCGTTACTGAATATGACGGGTTATTTATATGTTGTGCTTTCTGAAGAGAGGTTATGTTCAAAGTTATAAATTACGAATAACTGAGTAGAATTACGGGAAATCATCACCGCGCCGGCGTTGTGTATACTTACTGTTAGCATATATATGGCTTGTAATTCGACAGTGTACAGTGAATATAATTATTTATTATCTCTCTCATTTTTAAAATTCAGCAAATTTGAATATGTAATTTCCAGAATGGATAAGAAAAAGTGGATGCGCAACTAATTTCTAGCTTTGATTCTCAATTAAGTGTATTTGAGATAAGAACCCAATGTAATTATTATCAACACATACAACTTCCAGCTTAGACCTCCAGTAATGCCATTTCAGAAGCATATTTTACATCACATCAGAGCCAAAGATTGATGACGTTCAGGCAACACGTACAACTAAGTGCTATGTTAACATCTTGTAGAATAACCTACATAATGTCAAAAAAGACAAGCATAATGTCAAAAAAAAATCGGCATAATGATACGTGATACCCGTGCCAAGTTTACTAAGATGCTTCCAACGTTGTTAACAACGTTGTTTACACCCCAAATTGGCAAGTGTGTGTCTCCTACACGATGGGATGAACGGGCGTTCGACGCATGGTCGAAATGTCGAAAAACGAAGTTTGACTGTTTTTTGTTTAATTTTTGACGATAACTCTGTCGACACTGTAACGTTTTTCTAAAACTGCAGAGCTGTTTCGTCATTTTCATAGTGGTAACCTAGGGTCAACATTTCATCAAAATCCTGATAGTACATTCAGAGTTCATCTATTAAATCTTTTCATTTAGTTATGAAATGCAAGTCAATATATTTCTCATCTAGTCTTGCATTCACACGCTCACCTGCGAAACGTACAAAATATTAGCAATATGAAAAAAGTGTTGTTATGGCAGCCTCAAGTCAACGGTGTTGTCAGAGCGGTCCGTGGGACCTTAGCTCTTGAGTTACGTTACGGCAGCCTATGCTTTGTATGTGTACTAATCCAATTTATTCTCCTCAAAACATACATTATTATGAATAAATAGGTGTTCAAATAAAAATACTTCACTACAATCTCAGCAGGCAAGTAAATAATCTTTTTCGACGCTACTAGTTCTAACCTAAAACCATCAAACACATGACACCTCGTGTGTTCGAACGTTGTAACGTCCTTTGACGCGGGTCAATTTTACCAACAAGAGCCCGAACGTGCCATGTGGCGAACGTTGGACAAATGAAATCCGTCACACGATGTGGCGAATGGACATGTGTCCAACGTTGTAAGGCATTCGCCACATCGTGTGGGAGTGGTTTCACAGAAGATCAAAATGCTTGATCCGGATCATAATGGACTAACGAGAAGGCATCTGTCTAGTAATGGATGTATGAATATTTATAGTCATTTTTGCCTAAAATATCTCTCAAACTAGCGAAAAATATTCGATTTGTGTAAGAAATACCTCTAATTCCCATATTAAATCAAATCGGGCATAAGAATACTCATTATTCCCAGAGTACACCTTAAAAGTACCATCACATTGATGCACATACCTAGTTGAATATACAATAATATATGATGAATTTATAGGTACATATCCCAGGAATACAAGCTATGACTACGTAACATTGGATTAAACGGGATTTGTCTTATCCACTTGCATCGAGGGTCACATACACACTCGCGCGCGCACACACACACACACACGAAGTCTAAACGAAGGGCTTCCATTAACGAGATTTGAATATGAGATGTGCCAAAAATTAGGTTTCGTCGTATACGATTACAGACGGAGAGAGTCAGTTAGAGGAGAAAAGGGTGACACGTGATACGCCAACGCCTATTTGCCCTATTTTAAGGCTCGAGAGGGTTGTATTACCTACTTATCTTCATGGCGACAGTTAATTATTACCTTTAATATATATAAATAAAATATTATGAAACACAAATTACCAAAATATGCTCTTGAGACTAGTTGTTTTAAATAACTTGTAGATATTTGAACGCACGTCAAGCTAATAAAATACACAATCTAAAATCCAAATATGGCGCACTTATCTAAATGGAAATATATTTAAGCTTCACATCCCACGGAGTATCAGATGAAAGTGCTATTAAGACTAGCCCACATGTTCGTTTGTTTTGGATAATTACCACGGATAATATTATTCAAAATTCAAGCAGTCATCATTCTCAGAAGTTACTAACTGTATGCTGTATCGTTCAGAAGTGTTCAAGATGTTGGTTTTAATCTGTAAAATCGGGATTGCGTTAAACTTATTGTATCTGTTCAAAAATTCGTGAAAATATATAGGTACTAAACCGATTTCGCATAATTTATAAATAGAACAAATTTGTCAAAGCACACGTTTTATCTAATCATTTATGCATAATGCATACATTATCATAACATTAATGCAAAATACATTAATGTGTTTGATTTGAGTGCCAATCAGAGCCGCCAAAAAACCTCTAATTACTATCAGCAACGAGAGTTTTATCACAAATATTCCGCGTTGAACAGATGTTCGTTCTCGGGGCCTTTAATCATCCATTACAAATATCTATGGCGAAATTCAACATTAATGTTACACTGAAAACGCTTGTGTTGTGATATGTAGAACCGGTCTTTAAAAGTTATGTATTGGACATATCAACGAACTTCATACGATACCGCCACCCCTTTGTTACTAGTGTATCGAGATTGCGGAATATCCTACAAAAGGAGGCTTTAACTTTAAGCAGTTCAAAAGTCGGAGAAACAAAGTTTCTTTAAGCTGAAAGCAGCCGCGGTACCCCGGCATTTAGGCGTCTGTCTGCGCCTGTGCTTCGGTGTTTAACAAAGGCAGCGGTGTCCGATTTTGCTCCCGCTAGTGTGGCTGGGGTTCGAAACTGTCAAACATTTATCGTTTCATATTCTCCCAATTAAGAACTTTTATTTCGATTTCTTTTAAGACTTGGGACCATGAACCGACACTTTTTGTTATGAAACTTCATCAGAACAATATCTGGTGGCATTTGAAAGTGACGTTCTGGCATTATGATAATATAAAGATATTAGTTATTATATTTAGACAAACATTGTGTTTTCGTCAAGACATTTCCTTATTCCTAAAATTTACGTACGTATCTAGATGATATCTACCATAAATGGTCACGTTCAGCGGATACTTATGCGAAATGGTAAACAACTGGGGGCAAGTGGATACTGATTTTACAACAGCCTTTGACAACATTGACCATCAACTACTTATACAAAAAATTGAATATATCTAGGCTTGAGAACACAAAATGTGTTCTAGAACAAACATGTCAAGTAGTGGTATACCTCACGGTTACAATTTAGGTCCCCTATGTTTGTATTATACGTCAAAGATCTTTGCTTTTCATTGTTATGTTTGCCGACTTGAAGCTTTACGTAATATCTGTTTCTAGCTGACAAAATTGTGAAAACCCAACAAAAAATATTTTGATTACAAATATGGTGTATCAATAGCATTTTGTATTTGAATGCCGCATTCTAACCTTCACCCGGAAAGTCAAACTTTCCCATACAACCATTTCTGTCAGTATTGCACTTTGTGTAATTCTAATTTATTTTGTTGTGTTGCAGTTGCTGGTATCCGGTCAGCCGACGACGGCGACGGGCGGTTCGGGGTCGTCCCCATCGAGCGTGGGCGGTCTTTCGCCCGGGTCCGGCCTTCCAGGGGGAGGCGCCCTGAGCCCCGGTGGCTCCTCCTCCGCTGGGGGCGGGCCCGGGACGCAATGCTGCGAGTCTGGCCGGCCATTGGTCACCGACCCTGTCACAGGCCAATCGGTCTGCTCATGTCAGTACGATTCGGCACGACTCGCAGCGCTCCAATACCGAAACGCCGCCACCATGTACGGCGCCCCTTACCCCTCCACCGACCAGAACCCCTATCCTAGTATAGGGGTTGACAGTTCAGCTTTTTATTCGCCACTGGTAAGTAAAACTGAAAAACGTCATATTTTTTGGAGTTCTACAAGCGACAATTAATCTCTAAAAAAAATCCGATACGTACTAAATTACAATTGTTTTAATTATGTGGAACTACTTTCTCACTTAGTTATTCTGCCATTTAACCGTAACAAAAATAAATTGACTTCAAAAGTATACAAATAGAAGACAATGTGTAAATTATAGTTCAGTACCTACTAAATAGTAGTTCTATATAAATTCGCATAAATCCACCTATGATATAAAAATTATATTTTAAAAATACCCCTAAATGTTTTGCTGATTCCTCAATTTTAATAACACTGCCGTTTAATCTTATGATGAACTTAGTTTTAATATGACTTCCAAGTCCTTCAGGAGAAAAAATTAGTATTTTAGACTTATGGTAGGTGGTTGAAGGTTAGATATGTTCGGCGACATACGTGTCAATAGGTTTCAAATCTTCTGATATCTGAACTTCAGCAGTATTCATATTACTGCGATTAAAGCTAAAAAAATATTGTGAATTGTCTGAAAAAACTTGGATATTCCAGTATATTACAATTTTATTTATGTAAAAGAGAAGCTAAAGCGGTCCTAGTACTGATCGTTGAGGTACTCTCGAGGGAATCAAACATTCAAGCGAAGAGTTTGTATTAATAACGACTCTCCGAGACCTATTTTTCAGAAAGATATTTATCGAGTTCGACGAGTACCTAATTACAGAAACCGTAACATTTGAATTTAGATGTCAAAGGTTCGTGGTTTATCGTATCCTCATAATGTTCGAGCAGCTTAAATATATTCTACATCCTGAATGCTCAAATCTGAAGCCGGTGTATTAAAATACGATGTAAACTTGAAACCATTTTATTGGATAGACAGGACAAAATGTCATCAGGTAAGTTGACTCTGCTTGCCACGCAATTATGCCTTCAATTAGATTATTTATGGTCGCTTTATGTCCAAACTGAACGCCATAAGTTTAAAAAATCATCCATTTTTGTTTAAATCTAATAAACGCTACCAGAACGACAAATTAAATCCTTTAAACAAAAAACGCATGTGAATGTATTTTCAGCCCAGGCGAGTCAACTGACTAGTGTCATCGGGTGGTTTCACGGGCGCGACCGATTCCGAAACTCAAAACGTGTAGCGGCGCATATATCAATTGGTGAGATTTGAATACCTATACTAGTGATTCAATTTAACGTATGTGTGACTATTATTATATCTAACAGACGTGTAGTATCACCGGGATCAAAAGCTTCTCGATAGTAAAACGTATTTTAATAGTACCAAAGATGCAACATTAAAAACCGCTCACCCCCAATTTTCAACCCTTACAAAAATTTTCTGAAAATTTGCAGGAGTCTCAAAAACGCCAAAAATCGAATATTGGACATGTTTTTTTTTTCGCTGTTGGCCGTGACTGCACCGTTACTAGATAGATTTTCAAAAGAAGGTTGTTTCATGCTTGGCCTAGTAATCTTATGTGGAAAATTTCATTAGAATCCGACCGCTACTTCTCAAGTATAGACGAAACAGACAGACCAACCGCAAAGAGTGGTGTTTTTGTTGGTTCCAGGGGAAATCTTTAACGATTTGTTCAAAAATCGATATTGATCGATATCGGCGTTTATTTTAACTGGTCCCTACTGCTGCGTTGTCGCATACTGTGGACAAACATCCCAGCAACAGCAGCAGCAGCAGCATTCCCAGTGGCCGCGTCTCGGAATGCAGATATTGAATTTTTATTGTCGCGTCCACACTCGGGCCCTTACCGCGCCGACGTTTTTCTTTTTTTTTCCAACCGTGGCCTTCGCAGATGCCATAACTCACGCCACGCCGGCTGTGACCGCACTTTTTGCACGGCTATGAATAAAACACAACCGGGAAGAAGAGATTCGGGATAGGGAAAGGAGTGCCAAGATACGCCACTTTTGCTGATTTATTAAAGCCCGATTTCACTATTTTGCGCATATGGTACATATTGGACCAATGAGGAGGCGTCTTAGTAGTAGCGAAGTAAACAAACATTTAGTCGATTTCTTTTCTCTCGAACTAGCGAATAATTATAAAAAAACAAAAATGCTTCAAAGTCATCTGGCTTAGCTACAAAAACTTATTCCTTTATTTGCGTCCCAACACAAAAGTTGACGCAAATTCCATCAATCAAAAATGATTTGTGGCCTACACGAAACATGGATCCAATCTGATACAATAGATTGTCATGACTCTATTACTAGGCATTTTATTGAAAATAACAGAATCTTACTGTCGCTGTACAAAATTCTGCTTGAGGATATAATTAAAATTGCAGAACGCTTATTCTTTATCAAACATAAATTTACTTGCTTGCTGTCAACAAGAACATGTCGCGCCCTCTACTGTACGGTAGATTGACTACACGACTACGCTGACATCTATGTATATGAATATTTGTGCGTAGTCGTGCTACCGTCCGGTAGAGTGCGCGGTATGTTAAAGAATAAACATTCTACAGGGTGTTCCTTAATGATATGCGAATTAAGAATGTGAATCTACATGAAAAATTAATGTTAGGTTGCTTTATAAACTGTGGCCCAAAAATGTTTCCTTACAAAAACTCGGGGTGTTGAGGTTTTAGGAAAAAAATGAAATTAATTAATATTTTCAGAATCGCTTCAGATATTTCACTGATATTTAGTACGTAGTGAAAGTTAATAAAGTTGCATATTTTTCAATGCAAAAACAATTTTTAGCTTTAACAGTGGCGTGCGTATGGGTATTGACTTCGATATTTATTAAGAATTTTTTTGAATTCCTCGTTCAATTTAAAACAAATTATCTCTCTTGAATTGTTTTCCTTTGATGCGCCATTTCTGAGTAAAAAAACCGTTCTATTGTCTAACTTGCAAAATGATTATTTATTTAATTGGAAAAATTGGGGTAATGAACAACAACTGACAGCATAAACATAACATTTGGCATGGCGATATACGTAGGTAATGCATTTCTGAATTTGAATAATTCACCATTATTAACAAAATTGTAAAAGCTAAATAATGAAAAAGATGTCACAGCAAACAGATTTTAATAACAGAGTCTTGTCAGATGTCAAAAGCCAGTGACATATTCTAGAGCAACTAGATATTTATTGCTAAATTGCATTCTTCACTTATTACATTAATTTTCTCGGACAATAGAAAGGTTTTTATTTTTTTCCGATACGTAGTAGTTGCTTTATCGAGTTATATGAGATTTTTAAAAATAACATAAACATATCTTATGACCCAAGGTTACCGTACTGTACATTGAATTCCTGGAATAAGAAGCTTCTTGGATAAGGACCTCCGGAGATATCCTTTGAAGGTGCCTGGTAGGTACTAAAAGCCAACGCACCGCTTAAAAGGCACGTCTGAAACTGAGAATGCGCTTGACAAAAACTTGAGAAAAGTGCGATACCAACAAGTGGTACCGAGATGATGTCGGCAAAAAGGTCCTGGCGCATTCTGTTAAGTAAAGATGGTCTACATTTAGCGCTTGCACGGCCATAACTGACGGCTTTTTGCGAACTGAACGGGACCGTAATGGATGAGCACGGTAATTATGCCCATTCGAGAAACGGGTATCCAACCAAGTGACCGTGTTAATGTTACTAATGCTTTTTGATATGTTCGAGAAGCGGTGATTGTCGCGCCTTAGGTGTCCTGTCGTCAACATCAACGATCTAGATTCAAATCCGCTTTTAATGCAATTGAAAACGTCGTAGACACATGGACACTCAGGCGATCATCGGCCACATAACTTTTCTGCCCCCTAAACTTTTTGAAGAATGGTAATACATTCTTCCAGGGGAGGGACAAAATCGTCAAAATTGAAATGAATTGAATCGTGAAAATATGGAAATTTCAAGGTCTAATCGACAAATAATCCCAAATAAATAATGTACACTTGTGTTTTTTGATTTCGCCAGTTCAGAAGGTTTTCGATAAGTAATACAGTCCTAGTCAACCCTAGATATGTGGATGTCCTCCTTTCGCGATTTTTTAGTATCTCAGACAAAAACCAAGCGAAAAATGAACTGAAGAAGAAAAAGAAAATAGTATCAAACCTTTTGGACGATAAAATTTTCATGAACCGCTTTTACTCCTGAAGTGGTGCCAGTAAAGAGCAAAATCTGACCCAGATTAGTGGAGATGGTTAAAAAACGTTTGTATCTGCCATTTGTGCTTTCCGAGACTAGGCAAGAAGTCTTGTAAGCCGAAATAGACTAGAGCCCGATAAAGTGAAAAAAGTAATGTTCTCGTTCGTTCACTCACAACTACTTCAAGTCTATCATCCGGATCTTGTATTACCAGTGGTTCATAGAGAGCGAGTTTTTCAGGGAATGATGAGCTAAGTTCATTTATTTCAATCATAAGAATCGTTCGATTGACCTAGTTCGTTCGCCAACTACACACCACTATTATAGAACATAGAAATATGATTTGAGCATCAAGCTGTATTCTGAATATTGAACAACAAATATAACCGACAAAAACTGGTCAGGAAACTATGATCTCATTTAGATTAATGAATTAATAAGTATATTTGTTCAAAGAATGTATAATTTCCAACATGAAAATTCATTCTGTTGCGATCCCCAAGTTTATAAGACAAACGAGACTACAATGGTACAACTCTCGGCATCGCATCGGCAGCATGCCTTCTCATATTTCACTAAAGAGTTTTTTCTGCGATCTGTAGTGTTTGCTTTAAAACTTGTATGGTACTTAATGGATTATGTCCTTCTCGGTCCACTTTAAGAGCTGCCTTTTCGGCCCGCGCTGCGCTCGCCGTTGCTGGTAGACAAAATATTGATTCGCCGCTTGTTTTTTTTTCTGCTAGCGGACGCCGCCGCCTGCTTTGTTCTCGCCGTCTCGGACTCTTTTGTTTTGTACCAGGAGTAGTCGCAGCAGTCCCGCAGATCGTTTTTGTTTTAACGATACAAGGCGACTACGGATGCCCTCAATTGAAAATGT